ATCACACGGATGAAACTCCATTGTAGTAACCATATACTATTATCAATAGAAGTAGAGATAAAACCTCATTTTTACTTTGATACCAACATTAGTTACAATGGAGTTCCATCCGTGATATGAAAAACTCCTGCGAATAACATGTCAATGAATATCGCGTTTTTCGTACAATATTACGCCACTACACGTAAAACGGGTGAAACTCCAATATATTCATAATATCGATAGTATATATAATTTTCGTAGTCTTCGAGCGTTCAGAGATGGTCAGTATCAGCGCCGGAATTTTCCAGAAGTGAACTCCAAATCAAATTCCTCCGAAGCGTAACTTACCAGCACCAACATCGGCCTCAGCAACAAAGGACGACTCCGACGTAGTTAACATAACAGATTCATTGGACCTTCGCACCGCATAGTGACGACGACACATTACACACTTCTCACTGGTTGCTCATTCGCCTACGATTTGTAGTCATTCTCGGCGCCTCAGTTCGCTGACTCGGAACTGACGATGAACACATGGAGTGGTATGTAGACAGATAGGATATTTTTCTTATTTTTAAAAAATCGTAAAAAAATTTACGATTCCCTGAACCTCCATCACGGGGAATTTCACGATCAGACGATATTACTCCTAAATCACATCTATCAAGATGGCAGGTAATATAATTATTCCCCGTTTTATCAATGGACTTGCACCCGTTTTACGTGAAGTGGCGTGATACTCTGTGAAAAAACGCGATATTCGCGGCGCTATGCAGTGGTCGTGAAATACATTTTTCACTAGTGATTTTCATATCACTAGGGTGAAACTCCAATGCAGTAACAACAACTTCCCTGTTCTAATGTGAACTGCTGACGATAAATTCAAATTGTCAACACGAAGAGTTCATTTTATGGAGTTTCACCCGTGATATGAAAAACACTAGCGAAAAACACATTTCATAGTTCATCTCGCAGAAAACGCATGTGTGGTGATTTGCCCAGTGTAATTCCTAAAGTATTTTCAATTCTCTTCATATCGCCTTTTTCACATGGAGTACTACGCCAGTTTATGCAAAACAGGTGAAACTCCCATACCGTAACAATAAATTCTCTTTAATGATGCAGCTTGACACCACGTTTCCCATACCGCAGCCGAACGAACTTTCCCATTCTTTCACAGTTGATTCTGTAATTTTCCCCATTGCAACCGACCACTGAAACTTTCTGTGAATTCCCGAAGCCGCTCGTTTTCTTCTCCTTCGTTTTTCATGATTTCCCTCGCTATGATAGCCCTTGCTTCTAATACTCTGAAAAAGTGTTGGAAAAACATATGTAATCGCTTTCCTCAGCTGAGCTCAGGAGTTCACACATTTACTATGAGAGTTTACATGTGAATTCTGGTACAAGTCTACAGAAACCGACCATAATTTCTCAAAATTTCCGTATTGGCAACAACACATGTAGTTGACCATCTGCAATGCTGGAAAACGTAACCACAACTCTATCGAAACTCACCGTTTTCGTCGTTCGTTTGTCATTTTCACCCATACAGGTTTCCTCTCTGTTTCGCCAACATCACTGGAGGCACTACGTTCGGTTTCGTTATTCGGAATATTATTCCTGGCGCGTTGCTGTTCGTGTACCGGCATTCTGGGATACTTAGATTAAAACGTTCTTATATGATACCAGTGTTGGGGGAATATATGCAACCGCTTTCCTTGGCTGAACTCGAGAGTTTCCTCACTAAATTTAAATATGAATTCGGGTAGAAATGTACAGAAACCAATAAGAATTTTCCAAGATTTTAACAAAAGTCTGCGAAATCCCGTCAACTCTATTGCAACCTGATTCACAGTCGTAGACTGAAGCAGTATTGCGCTCTATCGAAAAGCCGGTTCAAACAGGAAGTAGACCATAAGGAGAGAATTTTTTTCGTAAAATTTCGGAAATTCGGTATTTTTTCGCTGATGGCAATTTCACGCGAACAAAGTAGTGTTTCTGGCTGATACTTCGACAAAACGTATATAGTGATGAATTATCATATATCATGTTGACTTGACATGAACACAGTCGCCGCACTACTGTAGACTTTTCCGGAGGCCCCAGCACACAATCCTTGACCCTTAGCCTGACGTTCAGCTAGCTAGTGAGTCTTGCTATGTTTCGCTCTATTTACACATTGAGAAAACTATACTCTGGTGTTTATCATGGCTCCTAAGACCGAGGTTAATCACAACTATAATGTAATGGAGTTTCACCCTAGTGATATGAAAAACACATTTCACATTTCACTTCGCGAAAAACGCATGTGGAAGTGTTTTACGTGATATGGGGTGACTTGTCCGTTGTAATTCGCCAAGTATTTTCAATTCACTTCATATCGCGTTTTTCACCTGGAGTATTACCCCACTCCACGTAAAACAGGTGAAACTCCAATAGATATTTCAACATCTATAGTCCGCTTAGAGCCATTGGCATACATTGCTGAGACTCCTCGAAAAAAGTAAGTACATATGTTGGGTCTCTGCTTCCTGAATTGAGATGCTACAGTGTGAACAACAACCAAACCGTTATTATGCAAAGTAATATTTTCAACACCTCCGAAAGTCAACTTTGAGTAATATCAACATGATAACAATGTGAATCGATTGACACCAACGTTTTAGAAGCGTTCCGTAGTCTATATTCGTATTACTCTCGAGTTGAAGAAAGCCGTCTCGAAATCTAGATATGCATAACTGTTTGCT